CTTTTTTTTTTCATATTTGAGAATTAATAAAAATAATAATTTTAGAGTATACCTTTATAAGATGGGGTAAATACCTTTAAAAAAGTAAAAATGGTGATAAGGATTGGTAAGTTTTACTACAACTTTACAAATTTTTAGAAGGAATATAAGTCAAAACGGAAGAAACTTCCGAGTCTCAGATGAATATAAATAAATTCCTATATTTTCTAAATGCAAGCGTATGCAATGCATTGTACATGTTGTTTCACTTTATGTCAAACCCAAACCCAAATATTAAAGCAACCGCAGATCGAATGGTTATTTTTGGCACATCCAACGATCATCCAATCAAATGTTAAATCTCGTTTATAAATTATAATTTATATACTGTAAATAATATGAATTATAAAACTTTGCCTACGCGAAAAAGGAACTCATAATGAGCAAATCTTCTAAGAGAGCCTCTGCAGCTAAAGATCGTTTGGAGCTAATACAATCTAGAGTTATTGTAGAACGTGACAGCGTTTCTAGTGTATGTAATAACTAAAATTTTAATTTCGATTTTTTTAACTAATAATAGTATTCTGTATTATCTATTTAAGATATCATCAAGTGACTTTCCTTTTCATACTAGTAATCGTTATCCGGATTTTAATGTTTTAGAAAAATTAAGGCAGGCAAGTTTCTCTTTCAATTGAAATCAATTCAGAAAATTGGTTTGTTTATCATTTCATTTTTTTTTTTCACCCTTATTAGAAAATAAGAGTCTCCATCGAGAAAAAATCTCAATATGATATGGAATTTGACCTAATTGGAGTTGATGCATCAATAGCAAACGCGTTGAGAAGAATCATGATCGCTGAGGTAAGTCTTGATTTGATAGAGTTTAAAGATTTTTAACTTTAAATATTCACAAAGATTGGTCTTCAATTTAGGTACCAACCATGGCGATCGAAAAGGTTTTTGTATATGACAATACATCAATAGTTCAAGACGAAGTTTTGGCACATCGGTTAGGTTTAATTCCAATAAAAGCTAATCCTGATGAATTTGACTTTAAACTTTGTATAGTATTTACAAAAATTTTCCCAATCGTTATCATTGTTATTTGGTAAACTTTATTGAGTCACTTCTTTTTATTTTAATAAAAATAATTAGCGACCGAGCATCCAACAGATCAGAACACAATTGTATTTAAATTAAAACAAGAATGCAAGCGTAATCCTAAAGCTGCGGCAAATGAAACGGATCAAAAAAAATTATATATAAATCACAATGGTTTTATTCCATTTTTATTTGGTAATGCATAATTTTTATTCAACTTATTGATGCATTTTTTTTTTCTTTCTAGTCTACTCTGCAGCTCTAATATGGGAACCTAAAGGCGATCAAGCTGAAAGGTTCAAAGATTCTCCAATTCGACCCGTTCATCAAGATATCCTTGTAGCACAAATGAGACCAGGTCAGAAAATAGAATTGGAAGCACATTGTGAAAAAGGATGTGGCAAAGAACATGCAAAATGGTCCCCTGTTGGTAAATATTTAAACTTATGCATTCTGATTCTACCTATGTTCTCCATCCACCCTAGATCTTGACAAGTTTCCATCATTCACTTAGCAACCGCATCATATCGCTTGATGCCAGAAATAATTTTGAAGGAGACAATTACTGGAGATTTGGCCGATAAATTTGCCTCATGTTTTACCCCAGGTGTTGTTGACATCAAGAATGAAAATGGTAAACATTTCTCACATTTAAAATTGAAATTTTAAACATTCAAATCACATAACTTTCTTGTCGTTCAGTCGATGGGAAAACTATAAAAGTTGCCAAGGTAGTAAACCCACGTATTGACATGGTCAGTCGGGAAGTATTACGACATAAAGAATTTGAAGACAAAGTGCAACTTACACGGATACGAGATCATTTCATTTGTAAGAAAATTTTTTTTCTTTCATTTTATTACACTAATTTTCTATTACTAAAATGCGATCGTTTATAGTTAGAGTTGAATCTACGGGAATTCTAGATTCGGAAAAAATTGTTTTTGATTCTCTACAAATTTTGTCATCTAAATGCACAATGCTCTTAAAAGCATTAGAAGTGAAATTAAAGGAGAAAAAGAAAGAAGCAGATGAAAACCAAAAAAATGAAAATTCTATGGATATAGATACTTGATTATTTGATCATTATATCCATTTAACTGAAGATGTCTCTATTGTTACGTTGGTCCCTAATTGTTGTTGTTCATTCTTCAAATTTGCTTCGTTGTGTACTTTTACGTTAAAAAAAGTTTATTTAAAAAATTTAATATAAAAAAAAAATAAAATCGTATAATAATTATCATAATTTAGATTAGAAAACATACCATTATCTGAATCATCAATATTTTTTGTTGTTAAATTATCATCCATGTTTTCACCATTTTCTAATTTTACAATCGCTTCCTCGAGTTTTGTAATTTTCAATTGCATTTTTTCTTTATAATCATTATAATTCATTTTGGACCAATTTAAATGTAACAACATTGAACCGAATATAACCCAAGAAAAATACGAATAAATATAAGGTGAATATTTTTTTAATTTTGATTCTTTACTTGAAGATAATGGCGCGACAGAAGAGTAAGAATTTGTTAAGAGTGAAGAGGGTTTAAAAGAATTATTTCGGGTAATAATGTATTTGGACGAATGATTAATTAACCTAATGAATAGATGCGAAGTCATGATGATTTCAAAAACATTTTAATCATCAGATGGGTAAACGATTTTTATATATATGGATGGACGTAATTCGTATCATGTGACATATGTCGTAATCAACTTAATAATGATTTTAGAATATGCATATATTTCTATGAATAAATAAGGTATTCTTTAAAGTTTAAACCCAGAATGTAATGCAACAATTCCGAAAGTCAGATCTTCCCACCCATCTCCTACAATAGTAAATCCTGCATCTTTTATCATTTCTGCAAATTGATCTTGTGAAGGGAACCGACGAATGCTTTCTACTAAATATTGATAGGAATCCTTATCTGCAGCAATTATTTGACCAATTACCGGAATTATTTGAAAGGAATATAAGTTATATATCCTAAATACATTGAATACAAATCAAGTCAATTTTCTTTTGATTGGTGAATCATTTAAGGGTATATTAGACTTACGATGAGATTAAAGGATTTTGGACCTTTCCAAATTCCAAACACATAAATCTTCCACCAGGCTTCAGGGTTCGATAGGCTTCACGTAATACACGATCTATATGAGTACAATTACGGATACCAAATGCTATTGTGTATACATCAAATGTATTTGATGGAATTGATGAAAGATTTTCCGCGTTTCCAATTTCAAATGTTACTTGTGATGCTAATTATAGAATAACGTAAGAGGGAAAGATTAAATTTGAGCCAGTAACATTACAATTAAATAATAAAGTTGAATTTTAATGCTTACTATGATTGTATGGAGTTTTAGCGAATCGATTTTTACCAACCTCGAGCATTTTAGGGTTAATATCCAAAAGTGTTGCTTGAGCACTAGTATCACCATGAATCTCTTTACAATAGTTCAGGAATCCCATGGCGATGTCACCTACGTCACATCATGAGACACAATTAATATGATTCAAATTAACTGATTATCGGATTATGGTGTTATTGCCTACCTGTTCCTCCGGCAACATCCAATAATTTTGTGCCAGGTCCTGGAGACATGGTTCTAATGAAATGGTCTTTCCATAACCTATGAACTCCTAAACTCATTGCATCATTCATCACATCATATTTTGTTGCTACGTTTTCAAAAACTTGTCCGACTAATCATTTGAATAAAAATATGTATTATATCCGCATCTATCGTTGATTGATTTAAAGTTGCTTTTTAATTACCTAAATTCTCTTTCATACTTTCTGGAACGTTCTTAAATCCAAAGTGTGTTTCGGGTTCTTGTTTTGTATCATGTTGAACTTGTTGAAACTTTAAAGATGTTGAACAAAAATTTCGCAACCCTTTATTGTAAATATTAGGTTTAACTATTTTTGAATTCAACCGTTTTAATTGTATTCGCGAAATCATTTTAATTTTTGGTTAGGGCTGTTCACCAAAATTTCAAACTTATATAATGATTGGTGAAGATCATCAAATATATATATCGAATCGATACTTGTAAATCGTTTGCTAAACAAAATGCTTTCTCTTTTGCAGAAACTTCCCATTTCTCTATCATCAGTATTCCACTAAATTGGCAAATAGTTTTTTATCCCTTTAAACATTTTCGTGTAGCAATTTACCAAAAGCAAGTGAATAATTTCATACGACCCAGTCAGTATCATTACGGTCCAATTGGGTTTAACATGTATGGTCTGAATTCTACATGACCTTTGTCCACGCATGCCATTATTTTCCGTGGTAGAATTGCTTGAGCATAATGCTCAAGGTCTTATCCCGTGTTAGTTTGTCTTATAGAGAAATACTTACATGTTATACAAAATTCCAATTATTTCTATTTGGAGCTCACGAATTCCGTTAAAGTATATACAGTACAATGAAAACGCGAAAATCACACGAACGTTACAATCGATTTGAACCAAAATCTAATGCAATCAAGTTGAAGGAAGTCTAATAATTAAATTAGGAAATTATAACTATTATCCACAACTGTTTATACAACTAAGAATTGTGATTTCGACAAATTTTGGTTAAAATTTATCAATCGATATTTTTTTTTATCAACAACTAGTCCCAATTCGCCAAAGTAATAAAGGTATCTTGTATTTAATTAAAAAAAAAAAAAAAATGCATACTCCAAACAATAGTTAAAATACCAATCGCTTTTGTTAAAGATTATATATTATTACTGACTGGCGTATGATGATAAATAGTTGTGATTCATCCACTTATTCAGTCTGATTATGCTATTGGTCACCGCATTAGTCCTAATGGCAGAGTATGTAATAAATTTTTGTGTAAAAGATTTTTAATACAAAAATATAATTATAAATTATTTCGATAAAATGTTACAGCCTTCAACTATTAAACGAAGATTAAACCCTCTATTGAACGAATTCAAAAGAGCAAGACAAATATGGTCAGAACTTAATGAAAATGGTATTACAACGGCCAATTCTCTTATGAATATAAAGTTACAAGAACGGTATTTTTACTCATAAAACTTGGTAATATTAATCACATCCCAATGCTTTTTATTAATAATAAAATGATATTTTAATATTTTAGACAAATAGATTATTCAATATATTGGAAAGAATTGGATAATTTACCTAATTTAGAAGAAAATCATGAAACTGAAAATGAAACTTATAAAAGTTTGTTATGCGCTTTACATCAAATATTTGAAAAAATGGTAATCTTTTTATAATCAAAAAAAAAAAAAAATAGTGATAATGATTAAAAGAATTTTTTCTTAATAATTTTTTATTTTTTATTTTTATTTTTTTAAAAAAAAATAAATAGGGTATACAATATACAAAAATGAAAATGCAAACATTACAAATGGAATCATTACTTGAAGAAACTTGTGAAAGTATGGGAGAAGAATTTACATATAATACGCCATTATATTTAACATGTCCATTAGAAACATTTGGTAATTATTAAATTAATTTTATAATATTTATTAAAATTAATTTATTAAATTAATAAATTTATATATTTTTTTTTAGTTAATAAATCATTAAATATATTAAACATGTATACACAAGAATTAAATTTAAAACAAAATATAATATCATCAATAGAATTAATGAATGAAAGAGAACAAATAATGATTATATTATCTAGTTGGTTAAATCAACCTTTTATAAATTATAAAAAAATTAATGAATTTGAAGAAATTTGTGAAATTGAAATTAATTATGATGAAAAATATAATAAAGATTAAATAAAATTTTATAATAATAAAATTATATAAGTTTATTTTCATTTAAAGTAATATAATATTATATTTTTATAGATAATATTTAAACTTAGTTAAATATAATTATTATTTATTATAATTCTTTTTTATTTTTTTATTATTTTACTATTTGAAACATTTCCAGTAAAATTAAGTCATAAGATATAGTAAATCATATGATTCATAATATGATTTTACTGGAAACGCTTCCATTTAATAATTTTTTTTTAAAATATTTATTTATTATTTTATAATTTATAAATTTATGATAAAATATATATATCAATTAAGATTGCTATCCTAAACTACTAAAAATTAGTTTTGGTTAAACAAAATTAGTTTTAATAATTTCAGTTATTAATTAAACTAGTTTTGATATTTAACTAAACTAGTTTTTATAAGTTTAAACTACAGAATTTTAGCTTTGAATAGTAACACTAATATCAATAATACTTTTTAAAATATAAAAAAAAAATATTTTTTTTTCTAAAAAATTAATTTAAAAATTATTAAAATATTAAAATATAAAGATATCTGCTTATATCTATTTTTAAATAATTAAATTTTAATATATTTAAACTATTTATTTGTAATAAATATCTTTAATAAGTTTTTAAATTAATTAAATTTTAGATTATTAAAATAACTATTTAAATAAGTTTACATCTTTAAGTTATATGTTAATAGAAATCATTAATTAATATTTAAAAAAAATATGTTTAATATTTAATAATTTAACAATAATAATATAAATAAAATAAAATTAGATTTAATATATTTATTTATTTGTTTATGTTTAATTAATATTTATAATTATAAAATTATTAATTTATTTATTATTTTTATTGTTTTATTTATTTTTTATATTAAAACTAAAAATGCCAGCCGAAACTCCCTCAAAATAATTTCGTCATATCCCTTACTATGTTTTTAATATAGTTTTAGCTAATTTCAGATTTTGGGATTTCATAATACCCCTCATTATGTTTTAATATAATTTCGGCTATTTATTAATTGCCTTTTTTAAATTTCATCCCTCATCTTTAATTAAAACAGAAACTGTTATGAGTTTAAAGAATTTATTATGATATTATATATTTATAAATAATGCTATTCAAAAGTAAATTAACATGTAGCTTAAAATCCATAAATTTTTCAAAACTTTAAAATTTTTTTTTAAATCTAAAACTTGATTAAGCTTTATTAAGTTTAAAAAAACCTATTAAAAGTTTAAGTAAAGTTATTTATTATAAATAAATAGTTTAATCTTAAAATTTAAAATTGATTAAAAATAGTATAGGATACATCTTTATTTACTAATAATAAAATTAAGATTAATAAAATTCTTAGGTATAGATTAATAATTTTATATAATCAAAATTTTTTTAATATATAGATATATTGTTATCTTACGATACTAACAACTGAAAATTAGTATTAACACAAGATTAATAAAGGATTTAGCTTTAAGACTTTATAACACGATTTATGGAGAGCTTCTGAAGGTTTATCGACCAAATGTATTTTAAGTCAAAGTGTAATTTCTGGGTTAAGTATTTAGAGTTTTATTAAAGAAAAGAATTATTATAAGTGTATTTGTTAGCATATAGGTGTATCTAGTAATTATTTTGTTGATGATAAAACTAAGTAAATTCTCTGTCGTTTATGAAGTTCTAAAGCTACCCTATTTATAAGAAATTTGATAATATAA